TGTGGGGAGCTAAGATACCCATCTTGTCCTGTAAAGCATGGTTGGAGATATCCTGGTATTGGTGAATTCCAGGTAATCATTTTCTTTGGAGTGCTGTAGTTTTTGTTACCTGCGTTTCCAATTTTTGACATTTGGTTTTTCATCACAAAAAATGTTTTCTTTTCTTTTCTTTTTCTTTTTTTGGCCAAAGTAAAAAAAAAAAAAAGCTTTTGATCCTGCATATTATATCAAGATTCCCTGATATCAATTCAAATTCAATGATGCTGAGTCTTCCCTTCTGTATCCCTTAGAGAATGTGAGGCTTTTGTCACATTGATATTTTCAGCTTTTCTTTCGGTGAATGATATTTTGAGGTGATTTAATGAAAGAAATGATAACTAAAAAGCAAAAACGAGGTGGAATCATGTTGCCAATGCCTATCCTGTTCTCATAACTGACGAATAAGTGTTTCATCCAACCCCCTCCCCCCCTGGGGGTTTTAATTTTTAGCTTGTTTTACACCAGTTTATCCTCAGCTACTTGCTTCACTTGTTTTTTGCTTGTTTAACTTATTCCTTATGACTGGGATTGTCACCTAACTTTTTTGTTGATTTAGCTTACTGGAGTTAAGCCTTGGATGATAACAGAAAGATAAAGGATGAGTTCTTGTTTTTTGGGACTATTGTCTATAGCCTTTGGATCGTTATGTTATTCTTGTGGTCTTCACTTGATTTTGCTGCTATTCTTTTGCCCATACGCCTTATATCTCTTCCTCTTCTTTGCTCCTTGCTCTTATTCTCTGTGGGCAGTGCTATGATCAATATTTGTTAAAAAGCCTTCGGAAGGCGGCTGAAACAAGGGGACACCCCACATGGGCTAGAGGACCAGATAATGCTGGTACCTATAACTCGCAACCACATGAAACAGGTTTCTTTTGTGATGGAGGAGATTATGATGGTTACTATGGCAGGTTTTTTCTTAGCTGGTACTCTCAGGTTTTGGTTGATCATGGAAATTCTGTACTTTCTCTGGCAAAATTAGCCTTTGAGGGAACCTGCATTGCTGCAAAGGTGAGCTGGAGGAGAAGAAATTTTGGGTTTAAAGATCATATTGTAATTTGAGATTTGAACAAGTCTTTCTTAACCTGAATGATTTTTTTCTAATTACCAATTTGAGATTTGAATAAATCTTTCTGAACCTGAATGATTTTTTTCTAATTACCAATTTGAGATTTGAATAAATCTTTCTGAACCTGAATGATTTTTTTCTAATTACCCAGGGATTTGTATAATCTTTGCAGTCCCCATCTCTTTGTGCAGTATGAGCCATGTCATCATAGCTAAGAATCTAATTATTACATTCATACTGCTTTAAGCTTCATTTGTTTAACCTAAAATAGAAAATTGTTTTGACAAAATTTTAACTTACTGTATATTTTTGGAGCACAGCTGTTTATTGAAAACGGAATTAAGACTATAATACTCCTAAAACCGTCTTTTTAAAAAATTTCTGTTATTTTCCATGAAATAGACGCGACCTTAAAATTTGTCATATTTAACTAGTTATTTATTTGAAGGTGGATCTTTTGTGTTTGTGTGTCTATGTTCTTTGTAAGTTGGGATGGTTATTTCTATTTCTTTTTTTCTTCTTTTTCCTTTTTACTTTGGTGGAAAAGAAATTTGGGTGTTGATTTTTTTTTTTTCCAATTTCTTTGTTTGGTAATACTAGTTATCAGAGCAACGGAAGGTATTTAATTTGTTGAGTCTTGATACAGTCTGTTTGCTATATTTTAATTTCTTAACAGCTATCAGGTATTCATTGGTGTTACAAGACAGTGAGCCATGCTGCCGAATTAACTGCCGGGTTTTATAACCCATGCAATCGTGATGGTTATGCTGCAATCATGACAATGCTAAAGAAGAATGGTGCAAGTTTAAGCTTAGCTTGCGCTGACCTGCACTCATTGAACCAGCACGAGGACTTTCCAGGGGCATTTTCAGATCCTGAGGGATTAGTCTGGCAGGTAAGTATCTAATCCTGACTGGAGATTTTCTATTTGTCAGTTTCATACATAATCCATTCATTTGGAAAGAACTTGTGGTAATGATTGATCTTTTCAATTCCAACTAATTGTGCGTGGCAGGTGTTGAATGCAGCTTGGGATGTTTGCCTCCCCATTTCAAGTGAGAACGCACTTCCTTGCCTAAGTAGAGTTGGCTATAATAAGATTTTGGATAACGCCAAGCCCATGAATGATCCAGATGGAAAACATTTTACATCGTTTACTTACCTGAGACTAAGTCCACTTCTTATGGAAAGACATAACTTCTTAGAGTTCGAACGATTTGTGAAGAGAATGCATGGTAAGGCACTGAAACATTCATTTTCTTCCTCCTGTTAATTTCTGGAAATATCTATGATATATAGAAAATAATGCTTTTCTCTGGCCTTGGTAAGAAGGATGCTTGCGTCATTGATAATTAGCACAATTCTCAAGAAATGGTGATCTTGAATTGATATAGCCTTATTCTGAGGGAAGAAAGGCATAGTCCTATAACCTGGCTATTTCTGTATTGAACACTAGATTTCATTCACTAGCCTCTATACATACAACACCCAACATTTAAACTGATTCATGATGGATAGTCATAGCAGGGACCAATTTCGTAACATTCATTTAGATAGTGGGCTACCTTAGGCCGCGTTTGTGGTTTGAGCTGGTCATGTTTCTATGTATTTTATCACAAATTCACAGTCAATGTAATCTCGATACAGCAATTGCAAGTTGGCCAAAATGAAAAAAACACATAATTTCAATTTCAACCATGGTTTATTAAACTCTTTATATTAAATATGCTTGAGAGTAGTCTATATCATCAAAATAGTTTAAACCATTTAGTTATACACGCTCTAAATTTTACATATTTTTAATGGGAAAACGTAACTTTGAGACCCTATACTTTGCTCGAATTTTATTATAAATTCCTGCAATTTTTTTTTGTGGTATTTTTAAGTCCCTACATTTTTATTTTTCAATGTTTTAGGTTTCTTCATAAGTGGTGTTATAGAGACCTACAACACCGAAAAATAAAAGTGTAGGAACCTATAATACTGAAAAAAAGTGTAGAGATCTATAGCAAAATTTGAGCAAAGTGCAGGGATCCAAATGTATGTTTTCTCATTTTTAATCTATTTTCTAGATGTGAGACTTCTTCTTTGATGCTAATACTTTTCTTCCTTTTTTCCTCAGTTTTTTTCATTTTTTTTCTTCTTCTTGTCTGGGCTTATACTTTTTTTTTAAGTTTCAAAGACCTTAGGTTATTTAATTTCTTCTTTTTCTTCTTTGCTCTTTTCTTTTTTAATCTCTTATTATTTTTTTTTTCATTTTTCATTCTTTTTTTTTTTGGGTTTCTAATCAAATGGCTTTGATATCATATTAAATTCTTTATATTAAGCATGTTTGAGGGTAGTCTGGTTCACTAAAATAATTTAAGCTATTTGGTTAGACATCCTTTTAAATTTTATATATTCTTAATCTATCTTCTTTCTTCTAAATGTGGAATTTGGTTAAACACATTCTGAGCTTTATATATTTTTAATTTATGTTTTATCTTCTAAATGTGGGACTTTTTTTTGACTCTAATATGGTTAATATACATATAATTTACTTATGTAACATTAAATTAACAGTAGATGAAGAAAAGGCTGCTCTCTATCCTTTCAAATATGGTGATGTGGTGGGGTTATTGACTGTCTTTTCACTGCAGGGGAAGCCGTTCTTGATCTCCAGGCATAGCAGGCTGGATAGAGAATCTGTACGTTTGGTACTATTAATAGCTCACCCTACGAAGCAGTTGGGGTGTTGTGTTGCAGATTAGTGAAATAGGATTGTCATTCGCCGTATGATATTGTTGTGTTGCAGATTAGTGAAATAGGATTGTTATTCACTGTATGATATATACAAATTGGTAGTTAATCAATTGAAGATTAGGATAAGTATTTTTTGTTTTTAATTTTTTTTGTCAAAATTTAGAAACTCACATTTTTCCTAGGGTGTAAAATTTGTCCATACTTGATGTTGAAGTATAATTTGTCTAGTTGGCTATGGGGTGACAACTATTTTTCTAGAAAGTTGAAAACATTTAAGCGTCACTCCATAATCGAAATAATGAATAAACATGTTGAGTGGATTGGTAATGAATGAAAGTATAATTCTAGAAAAGCCAATAAAAAAACAATCTTTTTTCATGATTCCACATTCATGTGTATCATGGTGATGTTTACATGATGCACATTAAAGCAAATGATAATAAGTTAATGAGCACACAAATGAAATATTTTCTTCTATTTGAAGAAAAGAAAAAAAAAGTGTGGATGTTCATTAACTAATATGATTATGTAATTATTAAAAATTGAATAGGTAATAAATGTACTAATCTATAACCATAATGTTCTAATTTCTCGAGGTTGGGAAAACAAAAGGAAGCAAAAAATAGGTAAAGTAAAACAGATTCTTATTTAATTATTACACACACACACACACACACACATATGCTCTATTCATTTATATCTACTCTATAATTCTATTGTATATAAATTTCTATATGAAAAATTACTTGTAGGAGTTCATATGAATATGGAAATATTGGGTCGATCTCTTGATAGAATCAAATATGAAGTGTTTTTTTTCCCCCGCCGACAATCGCATGACTTTTGAGATGCGACTTACTCCACTATTGAAGATTTTTTATTTTTTTTGGGTCAACAACGCTTAACATCCATTAGTGATTGTATAAAACAAAGTACAAGATCAAATAACCATAAGCAGCGTACACCCACATTAGCACAAAATAGAAACCCATAAAATTACTTAACGGAAACACAGAAAAGTACATAATAAAGGGAACAAGAAGGAAATGCCTAATATAAAGACAAGGGCTGAAAGAAAATGGAAGATAATAACAAATTGAAAGACACAAGAAAATAAACTAGGACGTACGTAGAGGTATAAGAAGATGATGTTACTGGCCATTCCAGGGATAGCAAAGCAAACCGTTATCAGGAGCATTAACCTGACATGGTCGATCTTGCGTGATTTGCCAAATGCACGTAGCGTCATTGCAATTATACGCATCCCTTCCATCGTCGTATATCACAAACCACTTACAAGAACCGTCCCATTTAAAGCTACAATGGAACAGAGTGGTGCCCAAAATATTAGGGTTGAAACTGAACTCGAAACTCTGATCAGCACGAAGAAGATGCTTCCCCAGGTCATTATCTTTAGATCGGCAATGAACTCTCATCTCCAAGTTTCCATATAAATAGTTTACGATCTTCACATGCGTTCCTGGCATCAGCCCAGTGTGGTGCCAACACAAGAACTGACACTATGAGGATGACGTGTTTCATGATCTGAGATGAAATAGTATGATATTGCTTCCACTGCTCATTCGATCTATTTTGCAATGAATCTCCACTCCATCTTATATGGTTGCAGGAACGAGCAAACATAATTAAAATTAAAATTTTAATGATTTTTTTTTTTATAAAATGGATCGGATTCCTTGCACTACATCGTTCATGCATTTGAAATTTAAAACGAGAGAACGTAACAGTAAAAATGCAGCTATATATTGTCTACATCTTGTCTTCTTCTTCTTCTTGCTTTTTTTTTTTTTTAATTTTATCCCTCTTTGAATACAGCGTTTATATAAATTTATTGCTGTGAATTCAAGACATTCGGATTGCATTTATTTGCATCGTTTAGCGTTAGAATTTGAGAGGTACAAGCAAATACTATTATTAAGCGTTTTATAACGAGCATTTATGGGGGAAGATGGAGCCATCATGATTCATTCATGTATTTTCGAAAAGAGAGAAATGTGTTATTTTTCTAATTAAATTAATTGATTTCGCACTTAATTTTTTTTTAAAACAAAAATTCATGATGAGTTGTTACCTTATTCTATTTTTATTTTATTTCTATGTTCCTTCTCCCTAGCTAGCTATTTCGTTTCCTTTTCTTAAATCTTCAATTACATTTACTGGGACGGTTTAGAACCTAGTGGTTAACAGTAAATTTTATTTCTTGATATTGGATGTTAGGGGGGAAAAGGACTGCAGCTAGCTTTGTTTATCTTACAGTCTTAAAATTAAAGTTGCATGGGATCGGATATGATCATCATCTAATTAATAAGGGGCGATCATGTGCATGCATTTATGAATAGAAGATGAAAATAATTCTCTTCATCCAAAACGAACAACTTTAACACGTACATTACAAGATGGGATAATGTGTTTTCATTGGCTTGTTCAATGAACAAGTAATTAAGCTGCCATCAAAATTGCCCGTTGTTCGTTTGCAAGCGAAGTGTCCATTGAAAGCAGCAAACGAACAGAGACTATGTATAGGTTCACACACGTTCATAGTTGTTTATCCCCTGTGCCTTGCAATGAATCTCAAATAATCTTGTTTATTAATTTCGAGGGACCTGACATTCTCCAAGAGATGATATATTAGGATATTATATACATGAAGCTATAGAGTGTGTGGATTCGCCGTGATTGGATTCAAAAACATATAACTCATTCAAAGACAAATTAAGTTGATATAATTAAATTAACTCATTCAAAAAAATACTATTCAGATTATCAATAATGATTACTTAGGAAAGGGGAAGAGTGAAAGAATTTGAATTTGAATTTGAATTTGGAATAATCCAAAGATTAATATTAATATTGAGACAAAGTCAGAAAGCCATTCAGAAGAAACAATAATTGTTTTGAATTTGAAATAAAAGCAAGGACACATATGTAAATCCCACGAGTCTCTGCGCCCATTCATGCACGGTGACTCGTTAGGGTTTAAATGCGTTTTCTTTTGGAGACATGCAACGAATCTGAGCACACATTCATTGTAATATTTTATTCTGTTTTCTCTAATTTTCCAAAATCATGATATGCGATAAAACATTAAGAAAAATGAAAATATGATGGACGCCGCATCGTACCATATGTAGTTCAACAAAAGCTTGTGCATCTGTACAAGTGATTCACAGGGAGAGCAGAAGAAGAAGGATCGATGAGGAGCAGCAGCAGCATGAGTGAGTTTGTGGGGAGAGCCATCCTGGTAGTAGTGCCAGTGCTGGTGGTGGCGTCAGATCATGGCAATGTGGCTCGGGGTGAATCGCGCGTGAAAGTGCTCAACAATTTAGAGGGGGGTCTAAACCTAAGCCTAAGTTGCCAATATTACAACGACGATAAGAAGCCGCCGGCGCCGGTGGAGAGTGTTGTGGGGAGTGGGGAGATCCAAGAATTCAGTGTGGATGTGGATCGCATTCCCTTCGAGAGCGTGGACTGCACGTTCAAGTGGCCCGGTGCTTCTCACCTGTCCCCCATCTACGTTAATTACAGAGACTAAGGTTTCTGCCGTACTAAGTGCACTTGGAGGATCCAGAAAGACCAGCCCTCTATGATCGGCGTCCGGTTTCGGTACTCAGCAGCTTGCTAAGCACCGCAATACTCATTGTAAAAAAACATTTGGGCCATCTAAATTTTCATCTGGATGGTCCAGATTTTTTTAATTTTAATTTTAATTTTATAAAAATATTTTTAGTTTTTTTTAACTTTAATTTTATAAAAATAAAATTAATAATTTTTTGATAAATATTTTCATCATCAATTTAAACAGTATTAATTCAATTTAAGACTCTACGTGATTTAATTTAATATTATAATTTTTATAAACTGATTATCTAGATGTACTCTAGACAAGACAGATTTCATATTAAATTTTTTTAATAAGTTTTTATTTTAATAAATATAAAATAAAAATAAAAAATTTAAATCTAGGCCTTGTAAATAAAAATTTAATGTTGAATCTGGACTGTTCAGAGTACATCCAGATAGTTAATTTATGAAAATTAAAATATTAAATTGAACCATTCAAATTTAATCAATACTGTCCAGATTGATGATAAATACATCCAAATTGATGATAAATATATTTATCAAAAAAATTTATAAATTTTATTTTTATAAAATTAAAATTAAAATTGAAAAAATTTGGACTATCTAGATGAAAATCTGGATGGCCCAGATGTTTTTTTATGATTGAGTACCGCGGTGCTTAGCAAGCTGCTGAGCACCAAAATCGGACGCCAACTTATCTTTTTGGTTCTAGCCCAAGCTCTGCGCATCCGGTTTCGGTGCTCAACAGCTTGCTGAGCATCGTGGTACTCATCATAAAAAAACATCTGGGCCATCTAGATTTTCATCTAGACGGTCCAAATTTTTTCAATTTTAATTTTAATTTTATAAAAATAAAATTTATAAATTTTTTTGATAAATATATTTATCATCAATTTGGATATATTTATCATCAATCTGGACAGTATTGATTAAATTTGGATAGTTCAATTTAATATTTTAATTTTTATAAATTAACTATCTGGATGTACTCTGAACAGTCTAGATTCAACGTTAAATTTTTATCTGCAAGGCCTAGATTTAAAGTTTTTATTTTTATTTTATATTTATTAAAATAAAAACTTATTAAAAAAATTAATATTAAATTTGTCTTGTCCAAAGTACATCTAAATAATCAGTTTATAAAAATTATAATATTAAATTGAATCACGTAGAGTCTCAAATTGAATTAATACTGTTCAAATTGATGATGAAAATATTTATCAAAAAATTATTAATTTTATTTTTATAAAATTAAAATTTAAAAAACGAAAAATATTTTTATAAAATTAAAATTAAAAAAATATGAACCATCTAGGTTTTCATCTGGATGGCCCAGATGCTTTTTTACGATGAGTATCGCGGTGTTCAGCAAGCTACTGAGCACCGAAACCGGACGCTCTATGATCGATGCTGACAATTTCTCGCCCTTTCTATTCTGCCAAAAATGGAACACTCTATATTTGGTAGCATTGAATTGGCAAGGTGGAAATGGAATCAAAGATGGAATCCTAATTTAAGCATGATTGGTATGTAAGAGTTGCAATTCTAAGAATCCTAATTCCACCAAAAATACTAGAATCCAATTCCATCATATTGATCATGGAATTGCTTCAATTCCCTTGAATTCAATTTGTGGACCCCACTATTCTCATATTTTTTGTCCATTTATAATAAAATAGGTCTTTTTAATTTAAAAAAGGGCATTTGAGTCTTTTTCTATTTTAAGTATATATATAAATTAATATTATATTAGGATTCCATCTTCATACCAAATACACTTTTCAAACTCAATTCTATTCCGATTCTGATTTCAATTTCAATTCCAATTCCGATTCCGATTCCGATTTCATTAAAAACTCTTCTATCATATCAAATAAGGCCTCCTTATAATATAATATAATCCATCCTTATTATTACAATAAATACAGGCTTTTTCTGTTTCAAACATTACGATTTACGAGGAATGACTCATGTCATGTCGGTGCTGAAAATTAATTATCTGACTCATATCAGTAATTGTTTTGTTTGATTTTATTTCATATCGCCATTTCTTAAAAAATAAATTATTTTTTCAATAAATTATGGCTGAAGGCATCTGCGGAGAATGAATATAATGTTTCATTTAAGTCTGAGGAATTAAACTAGAAAAAAGTCATTCTTAAGGGATTGATTGATCAATGTTTCGATGAAGAAGATAACAAAGAAATTGGCTTGGTGGGAATAATCAATATTGAGCCTTACCCTCTAAAATATCGAAGCCAAGCCTCAAACTACGCTACAAATCAAGGTGATCTTGAAATTAATAATTTAAAGGTTTTCTGGGAAAAAATAAAGAGCACGCGGCTGATTGAGTCACTCAACATGGGGAACTGTTCTTAATTATGTATACATAAAAACTCATATGCCTAAAAATATATGTTTAATTTCTAACTAAACCAAGACAGGCATGTAATTATTTAATATTATTAGCACATGAAAATTTATTTATTTTAATTTAATTAGATAAAAATATGTTAAGTATATAAAGTTATGCACGTATAAGTTTGCTTTTTTATGTATGTAATAAAAAATTAACAAAAGCAGAAACATCTTTCAAAGATGAGAAATGAAAAAATTTATATATATAATAAAATGAGATATTTTGATAAGTTCTAAAAGAATCTGCAATTATTACAATAAATAGGATAGAGAATTAGAGATATAGTTAAGCAGAATAGGATAGAAGCAATTGAAAATCATAAGTTAATTATTTTGTATAAATAAAAAAAAGCTTTAACATAAGCCTAATTAAACACGGCTGGCGAGATCAAATCCAAAGAAATCAAAGAACAGAGCAGCATGAGATTGAGGAAGACAACAATGTTTGAATCAGTGATCACCAAAA